TCTACAGCTTTTTACAATGTGGGGTCTACTATTTTATTAAATAATTAGGAAATTCGGCCCGCAGACCAAAAAGTTTGGGAACCCCTGCGTGGGTCAAAAAATTTTGTTTTCAAATTTTTATAAGCGCTACCAAAGAAAAGTTGTGTATTAGGGAAATAAAAAATATTGTTAAAAAAAATGATAATCGGACTAATTTTAACCGGGCCCATCGGCCCTCAAAAAGGGCAAAAAAATAATTATTTAAATTTGACGGAGCTAGTGCATAAACTATTCGTTATTGTCCTAATGATTAAAAAAATATATATTAAAAACAAAATATTTTTAACCGGGCCCAGGGTCCATACGCTATAATGTAGAACATTTCTTTATTTTTTGACTAGCCCTTGAATATGAGGACTATACTTCGACGGGGGAAAGGACCAAACAATTTGTATTAAAAACAGCAAAAAGATAACCCAACAAGAAGAACACATTACAATTATTAAAGAACCTGGTAATATTTACTTATCCCATGTATCTATAAAGGGCTCTGCTACCGCAGCAAATATAAAGGATGAACTTCTTTAATACTTCAACAAGTATCATACAGATATCAGTTACAGTTCATCAAATTTCTAGAGGTGTTCGACGCCCAGACAGAGAACGCGCTACGTGTGACTAAGATAGCTATTGTACAGTCTGCTAAACAAGTTATTTTAAATAGTTTTTAATATTTTTAGGTAATTAAATTTTAAAAGTGTGGAATAGTTTAGGGATTAAATTGGTCTGATTGGACTTTCTTAGAACGTTTTTAAAAGCAGCTAAAGATAGTATGTAGAATTGAAAATAATTATTATGCCATAAAAGGTGTTTTGGAATTCCTTCAACCTTTTGAAATTAAGTCAGAAAATATAAATTTTATAGGATAGCGGAAAATACCTATAATTTTTTTTGTAGGCCTTTGTAAATCGTGGAAATAGTTTATATTTTAAGTGTAAGGGTTAAAGAAAAGGTCCTTTATTTCTCACAAGTCAATTTAATTGGCGACCGGTTTCGAAGCTGTCACTTCATCATCAGGCACACCTAAATGGAATGTCAAGCAGTCAGTTGTAATAAAAAACAATTATAAAAGCATGAACGGACTTTAACATATACAAAATAACAGAAAAAACAGAAAAAACAGAAAAAACACAAAAGAAGTTAAACAATTACCTTGACTCACCTTGACTATTTCCATAAAGGAAGCGCTACTAAAAGTTTAACAAAACGAGTTAAAAAAGTCATATGTAATACAATAGTATTTTTTAAAAATATTGTAGGTTAGGTTAAACCGCGAGATGTATGTTTGAATAAATTAATTAAAACACATGTAAGACTATTATTAACTAAACAACACAAAATAGTTTTTACAAGCACAAACAATTTAAAAATTTTTAAGGATATAACGTCAATTAATAAAAGTAAAAAGTAAAAATTATCAGACTCTCAAGACATCTATCTAGATTTTTTAACGAATCAATGTAGTAAACTGTAAATTTTAAATTTAGTGGATAAATAGTGTACTAACAAAGGTGTTATTTACTGAAAGTGAGTATAGGGGGCGGTGACAAAATTTATTGTGTTTGTGCTTCTAAAAACTATTTTGTGTTGTTTAGTTAATAATAGTCTTACATGTGTTTTAATTAATTTATTCAAACAGACATCTCGCGGTTTAACCTAACCTACAATATTTTTAAAAAATACTATTGTATTACATATGACTTTTTTAACTCGTTTTGTTAAACTTTTAGTAGCGCTTCCTTTATGGAAATAGTCAAGGTGAGTCAAGGTTATTGTTTAACTTCTTTTGTGTTTTTTCTGTTTTTTCTGTTATGTTGTATATGTTAAAGTCCGTTCATGCTTTTATAATTGTTTTTTATTACAACTGACTCCTTGACATTCCATTTAGGTGTGCCTGATCATGAAGTGACAGCTTCGAAACCGGTCGCCAATTAAATTGACTTGTGAGAAATAAAGGACCTTTTCTTTAACCCTTACACTTAATCCCTACTACTCACATATGGCTACCCTCACTCCAAGTTTATATTTTATTTCTACCTTATTAAGGAAAATGGTACCTATTATTAATAACGGTTGTTTCTTGAAACATTACTAAAATTTTCGAAATTTTGTTTTTCTACAAAATAATAAACTATACTATTTAGAAAAAAATTTATTTCTCTTATAATTTTATAAAAAATAACAGGGGAATATTTACATTTCTTGATCTATTAAACAAAACGATAAATTATCTCGACGAATGACACCATGTTCTAGTACGGAAGCTAGCTTTACATTTTTGTTGGTGGTTTCATGGGTTTCATATCAATTTTTTGTAATTGTAGTTTACACGTACATATACCTCTCAACACTTGTTTGCTTTATTAAAAAAGTGTGTTGTTGTGATTTACGTCGAAATAAGTCAAAAACAACTTGAAACCCCATATAAAATCAAAAAGGAGAAACGGAAAAAAATTGAGCCTGTAAATGAACACAACTCAGAAACAAAAATAGCTATCTAATAATAAAAAAATAAAATTTGATTCTTGTGCAGCTTCATCTATATCATTAACTGTTTTTGGTTTTTTAATGGTTTTTCTTGGTGATAAAAATTCCGATATCTCACGGTTATCGATTGTTTTTTTCTCTCCAGAAATGCGGACGACAGTGTTTTTAGATACTCCTGTGGCTGCAGCAACACGATCATTTACATTTTTAAATGGTATTGAAGGTGAATTAAAGTTTCCTTCTCTTCTCATAAACTCTATAACATTGGCTATTATTTCGCGAGATTGACTGTTAATCACGCGGCCTCTTAATTTGCTATTAAACTCCATACTTAGGTTCTATTAAACTGTAATGAGCAAAAAACACAAACGAAAATAAAAGAAATGTTTTAGCGAAATTTACATCTGACATTTACGTCTGAATGAAATAGTGAAATACTTGATGCGCAGAGTGTACTTTCATTGCGTAAATCCGTCGGGATGCCTGTCAGTAGTGCTTTCTCTGTCTAGCCGTCGAAAGCCTCTAGAAATTTGATGAACTGTATTTAACCGTGATAGGTTGTGATGGTACAAATGTAAATACTGGGTGAAAGGGAGGTATCATTCGATTAATTGAAAATCACATTAAAAGGCCCCTTTAATGGTGCATTTGTCTGCTCCATGCCAATGAGCTATCTTTGAGGCACTTATTGCAAAGTCTAGATGGAGATACCAAAGGACCTTACAGCTTTTCGGGACTAATTGGAGCTCTTTTAAAATACTGTCCAGACATGCCAATTGTAGAGTTTAAACCAATAAAGACATCTCTTCCTCAACTCCAACCAGACGACTTAAGTACAGATCAGCAGTATCTATATAAGATTTGCATAAGCATTCAAAATGAAACCATTGCTTCCAATTTGGCAAAGAGAAATCCAGAAAAGATGTCACATGCCCCGTGGCTTACAACAGCCAACAGAATACTACGCCTTTATATCGCTACTAAAAATCCATCTCCCACTCAAGTTATTTTAACCGAATTTATTTTAAAGGTCTACGCACCTGTTTTGTTCGCAATTAAAACAAAACCATATATTTGCGATGGCGCGAGACACCTGTCCAATGCTATTAATGCTTCAAGAGGATTCCCAGATAACGTTAAACATATAACTAACAAAGTCTTTGCCGAAAATGCATTTTTTGCCCACCCTAAGAACCTACTTTTCGCAATGCTAAGCGACCCACGTCCATACATTAGAGAATTAGCTGCAAGAAGAATTAAAAAATGTAGGATGCACACTAATAAAATGGTCAGAGTTTTTAGGGTACCTTTTTTAAATTTAGATGCTGACGATTATATAGCCTTGATAGATTGCCAGAAAACTAGGATTATCGAACCGCCATTAACATTTAATATAACAAATGAAACGTAAGATAATATTGTGACAGGAAAAAAGCCCTAAATTTTTAAAAATTTCCATGTCACACAAGCGGTGGAACGCTGTGTAAAATTAGTAACTGAAGCTTCTACTAAGGTTTGCGGTGAGTCATCCAGAGATGGATATATTAGATTAAAATTAGAGGGACGAAAAATTTTACCAGCATTTAATAACAAATCGAAATATTTTGAAAAGCGAAATGAAACATAAATTGCTATAAAAAAGGGCGGAAGGGTCCCCAAATGGGAGGAACTCTAGGTGCAAATACCTCCGCGTGATGAGTGCTGGGTTGATTTAGAGATATATAATTCCACTCTTAATTATAAATTACTAAGTCAAGCGAAAAGTTGTACAAAAGTTAAAGAAAAATATATTTTTGTTATTGTCCGCCTGCGGTAGGGCCCGTGGGCCTGGTTAAAAATGATACATTTTGGTCCAGTTTTTTTTACATTATTGAAAAGCCCTTAAGTAAACTTTTTTTAAGTAGCGCCACAAAATTTAAAAAAAAATTGGACTTTAAAAGGGCCCGCGGGCCCGGTTAAAATTTGTTAAAAAACTCCAATTTTTTTAAGAATACCTCAAGACATCATAAGACAACTTTTTCAGAGTAGCGCGTTTATTAAAAAAAAAAAGAAAAAAATAGGCCTGTTTCGACCCACCTTACCCTGCATAGTGCCTACCGACCACCATTTTAACTGTCAAAAGATCAAACTCAAAACACCATAGATTGTAAGCGATTCTTATCCCAAAAAGTTTTTAAGAAATTAATTTTTTCCGATAAAAGGATTCCTACCAAAAAAACGTAATTCAAATATCGATTCTGAATACCATAAAACAATGAAAAATAAATTGGAAATCCAATCACAGCCCCCAGCGCTCGATGATTGAATATTTTTTGCCAATCGTTGGAAAAAATAATAAATAAGTCCGTAATCTCAATCTCAATTTGGGGAAGTTAATTATAAAAATATCGCGAGAAGAATATCGACAATGAGAATACTAATATTATTTCAATTAACTTTTCTCACTTTTCTGGAGGAGTTTTCGAGGAGTTCGTTCAGTCTGCGACTGACAACTCCTCCCCGAAGATATCATTTCCCAATTTATATCTATGATTCAATAAAGTCTCTATACCATCGGCAACCCTTATACAAATAGAATCCGGAGCCAGGGGCGGAGGTTTTTGTTTTAAAGCGGGTCTATTCTGTAAAATATCCTTTAAAAATTTAACCTTTGGACTTTTGGACTTTTGGAGTATAATTTAAAATACATGGAATACATAGAATAAAAATATTGCGTGGCCATTCCAAAGTATAGTATCAGGGATTAGGGTATATAGGCACCGATGCCGTTCTTGTTTCTTGCCTGCGATATAACTAAATAACTTTTTAATATAGCATACGTTCAAAATTTAAAAAATAAAACAGCACCAATTCTCATTTGAATCACACTTGGAGTAACTTGATTTACACCGGCAAGAGAACGCACCTTTCTCTTTTGACATCTGTCATATTAGCGTCAACAGGCGCCACCTGTCACCGCTGTCACTCTAGCAGCCCAAACATGGTACAAATTCGTTAGAATTTAAAAAAAAAATAAAAATTTAAACAATTGGTTCATAATCTCCTAATTTCAAAAATAATTTTATGAAAATAACTATAAATATTTAGCAAGGTGGGACACTTCAAAAATAAATGTTCAGAATGAAGATGACTTTTAAATTGTTTTTAACTTGATTTGGACATTTTTTATAATTTACTAATATAGTGTAGAATTATTGTTATTAATTTTTAATGTTAGTATGCAGCAGAGATAATATTTTTTATGACCCAACTTTAAATATTTATAACTTATATCATTTCTACAACTTATTCGATTATTTACAGAAAGTAAAAATAATATTGTGCCCCACTCTACCATTCACTGTTGGGTACTAATTAACAGTGTGGTTCCTAAAGTGGCGCTCGGAAACAGTAACAAAGCCTACACAGAACACGAGGCTAATAACCGTAGCAGTTGATGCCGATGAAAAAAGTAGGTACACGAGATGTGTAAAAGGAGTGGCACGAGCGTGGAATAAGTTTTATACAAAAGTGTCATACTATACTTTTTCTATAACATAATTTTTGATAAAATGAGACATCTGAATTTAAAGATACTTTTTAAAAAGAATTACTAATTTACTGTTTTAAAACTAATTAATAGTATGCAAATTTAGCAAACTTTATAGAAGGTAGTATATTATAAAGTGACTGATAATAGTTAATCGAATATTTCCAATAAATTATTTTAGTTTTTCCAAGATAATGGAATAATCGATTTTAAAGGAAATAAAATACCACATAGATTAATTGAAAATATTAGATTGATTAAAAATATTTTAAATGATCGAAAATTCGAGTGCTTCTTTTTCGAAAAATTTTTAATTTATCCATTTCTTCGATTTTTCAAAGAGTATCTAATAATTTATTTTAAAGGTAATACGAAAAAAATAGATTATTTAAAAATAATCGATTGATTGAATATAATCGATTCATATATTACATATTCTCTAATTCGATTATTTTTGATTCAGCGATTATTTTCAACTAATCGAATATTTTCCAATAATCGATTATTTTCGATTTTTCAAAGGTAACCGAATAATCGATTTTATAGAAAATAATCGATCATTTAAAATACTCGATAATTCGTTCATTATTATTCGGAAACACCGATTTATCGGTTAATCGGCTTTTTAATTAATAGATTATTTTCTATTAATCGATTATTTTTGATTTTTCAAAGATAATCAAATATTCGATTTTAAAGGAAATACGAAAAAAAATATTGAAAATAATCGATATTTCGAAAGTAATCGATAATTTATTTCGATAATCGCCTACTCCTAGTGACCGAATGACTTTTATTAGGTTTACATTTTAAAATGTTATCTGGTATCAGAAATATGCATTTCCAGATTTTTATGTGACACGTTTTCTATATTTAACATTTCTAAAGAAAGAAACTTAATATACCTTTTTCTCAGTTTACAATATAAAACAGCATTTTCATTTTGACTAATTTTAATAATAAGTAATAGCCGTGGAAAAAATATAGACAATGATCAACACACAAGGTTTGATATACCTATAGTATTCGCCACACACTAATGGGATATAAAAGTTAGTTTTTTATGAGTCATTCTGTATTTTATTGCATTTTTGAAATCTACACATAGAAAAATAGCGTAACTTTGTTTAGTTTAAAATGTATTATAGGTACTTATAGTATATAATTTTTAATAAATTCAAGTGTCTTTAATAATATGTGGCCTTTAAAAAACGCAAATATGTTTTAATTTGTTATTAGGAGGAAAATTTACATTACAACGGTAGTTTAGTAGGTATAAAAATTACCACTTAAGGGTGGATCCTAAATACTACAAAATTACTTCCGAGACTAAACAAAATCAGCATTCATTCATAATTTTAACAATTGCATGTAGATACGAGGGATACATATTCTAAACTCTAACGCGCGAAGTTGAAACAAAGAAACCGAAAAATATTCCACAATAGCACATAATACGTATTTTACAATAACTGATTGTTTGAGAGTGCAAAAGCGTCCATAGTTTAGCAATACATTCGCTCCTGTACTACCGATGTCCTATAACAATTTGTAAAGATAACTCTTTTATAATGATAATATTAATATTTCAAGGTTTTATATAAGAGCTTGAAGATATCGCAATATCGCAATATGAAAGCATTAGTTCCTGTTTTTCAATTAAACTCCATAAATCAATTCATATTATAATCTAAACGGTACTTAAGCGCAGTAAAGTTGCAACAACTTCTAAACAATATAATGAACTTTTAAAATGAAATTCTATTTATATTTAGAATTAAATAAGTTAGCTAAAATTTTTGACCGTATGAAGTAATTAAGTTATAAATTATTACGTTACAAAGATTCATATGTGAATTTTCAATTTCTATTGATGTGCTAGTTACTCATCTGCGTTTTACAATATCAATACATGACTTGGCTTTGGCACATAACCCTGTATAGTAAAACTTCTAATCCGAATCAAATTCTTTAAATTATTATTTGGGGACTTAAAAATGTGGTTCACAAGTTGGTGTAGCCTTTTAAAACATTTGGTATAATAATTATTATATATCATGAATTGCCACTGCCACTGGTAAAATCCTAAATTTAAAAAAGCGTTTTATAATATTAAGACAATCACATTTTAAATGGATCGCTTACTACCATGTTTTAGAAACAAGTAAAACGTAAGTCTTAAATTAAACATATTCTAAATAATTTAAGATTCCTCAAACAAAATTTCTCACCATTTATTTGGTATTCTGTCCCGTACTTCCACGTCTTTAATAGCTCTGCTGTCAACTAGTTCTGGTAAGGCATATTGCATATAAAAATTTAGACTTTATTTTGCATCTTTTCTTCCCAAAAGTTGTCATTATGAGGAATGTTCTCCACTTTTATTTCTCGAGGAGTCTAAACGCACAAAATGCAAAACTCCATTTGTATAATGTGCAGCTAGCCCTGAATTTGAAAATACCAATTGTGGTTCTCCTTAATGGTATTGTCCTTTTCCCAAAAAGTTATTTCTCTGCTGCATATCCCTTCTTCTACAGTCAGCACTCTAGCTCCATATATGGATATTTTAACTGTATCATAGCCGCAACAATCAAATTGGGAAACATTTAAAAACATTTTCTTGTAAATAAATTTCCGAATCTTATTTTGCTCTGGATTTATTCTGCATGCCATATTAGGTGGCTTTAGCAAAACATAAAAGATTTCATGAGAATTTTTCAAAAAGCCGTTTCGTATTTTTACAAATATCTCCACATTTTGTAGTAGTGACACGTTTTCGTCTTTCATTGTGCCACAATGCACAACAATCAGCTTGATCTCGTGTTACATTCGTTTTTTCTTATCTATGGACATTGCCAAACTTTTTACAAAATCTTCTTTTGCAACGCGTATCAAAGAGTGCGACAGATCAAAGCCACGCGCGAAAGCAAGAAAAATGATTTACTCAGTTCGAAAAAATATACATTACTTTAACAGACTAAAGAGCAGTTAACATGCTGGAATTAATTATTATTCTTAACTCGAATATGTATTCATTAAAAAAAAACTTCCGTGCAATATTAAATTTATAATTCACAGCTCACTGTATACCTTTTAATTTCGAATATATTTTTTTAATAAATAAATTATAAAATTAACTTAAAATAATTTAGCGAAATCACTGTATGTAAAAAATAACAAAGTGTGCAGACATAAATCAAAACAAATTCAGATCACTAGTACGCAAGTTATTTGAATTTATCACTTGAAAATAGTGGAAAAGGATTTACAATATGTTGGTGTCTTGAATTTTTTTGTAAACCTTCGCAAAATATTTATTTTGAAAAATTTTAAAAAGAATTAAAACAAAAACATTTACGCGCTATTCTGTATTAAATCTCTAAAAATTTACTGCTTTTTGTTTTAATAAATATCTAGTAGTTTTTAAATGGAATGTTTTCCCAAATTTTTTTTCTTAAACGTCTCTACCTTATCGTTGAACAAATTTAAGGCTCTCAATATTGTCACACATAATATCACGAAGTATTCCTAATGGCACGCATATAAATACAATTTTATATTAGAAAATCCTTAAAACATTTTTGATTTCGCGAGAGGTCCGGTTTTCTTTTAACGTATTTTTGATATTGTTACAAAAATAAATGCTCCTCTAGATAAAAATTAAATATGTTGTTCCCTTCTAGCATTTTTATTTGTATTTCTTTTCGTTAGAAAGACATCTTATTCGATTTTTTTTTCAAAAGAAACCGATTCAAATTTTCACTTAGTGACTCCAGATATGTACGGGTTGAGTCTTTACCTGTACTTACATAATTAATTTTTCTTGTAGTAAAAATAAAGGACAATCCGTAAAATTGGTGTACTATGAAACCCTTACATATTATTCATATATAATATGTCGATCTTAGTATTACAGAAATGATTTACGTAAAACAATAATTTTTACAAATACGTAAAATTTATTTATCCCTCGTAAAATATATTATAAATTGTTTTCATTCATAAATATTAATTTCTTAAAAGGCCCCACTTTCCAGACGAAAAATCTTGCAATGTAAGGGTTTCGTAGTACCCCACTTTTAAAGTTTATTT